GTAAGGGCATTGAACACCTTTTAAGAAGGCAATCATGCGTATATATTTTTTTCCAGAGAATACAATTGTTAATCCACGCTTCATATCTGCAATGCTTTTTGCTAATTAAATATTTTGTATTTTTTTTTAAAAAAAAATTGATGTTATCATTATTCTAGCTAGTTTTCGCTAGCATCAGTATAGAAAAAACATGACAAGAAATTCAATATTGAGTCAAATTATCATCAAAAGCTTGCAATCGTTCAATATCAACTTAATAAATTCCGTATTTCATTCGCGCATAAAAAAAACCCAATAAATCTATGCAACATGTAGGCAAACAAGTAGTTAATTAATTGATGTATAACTGAAGGCATGAGGCTTGACCCGTTGATGGACGCTTGACCAAGAGCAGAAAACATAAAAGCCAAAATAGCTGATTTGCATGTTGTGGACAGAGGAGTCCCATGCTTTCCTTTTGCAAGCAGCCCTTCAAAAAATGGCCAGACGCAAAGGACCACCATTATGCTACACAATATCTCTCCCAGCCCTGAGCCATCGTTCACTGATAGTTGCATGCCTCGGAAACCCATGATCAATGCCGTGAGTGGCAGCAGCAGAACGGCTGTCCCAGGCACAAAAATTAGTGAAGCATCGTAGGTGAACCTGCCTTCATCGCCATCATTATTTGAAGATTGGTCTTTCAGTGTAACTTCAAAAACTGTATCTGATATTCTTAAAACCTTCAAGATTACACTGATAACTCCAAATAGCCATGCATTCATTGTATTTATTCTTGGCATCCCTTGGTTATTCCACCATGCACGGATTGACAATCCAGTTTCAAGGTACTCTATTAGAGCGCAGATGACGTAACACAGGAAAAGAGCCACATAAATATATATGGCTGGCTCATGGACCTGCATTCATATCTGTCATAACCTAATTTTTTGATTTTTGTTATCTACAAAAATTGATGAAAAACAAGTAAAAATAAAATAAATGAAGAGTGAATTAAAATTTGGGTTAAGGGCAACATGATTAGAAGTTTAAAGAATTAATTAAACTCTTGACTAGTTTAATTAATTAAATAAAGGGGCTTAATTAGGAAATTAAGAAGTTTGAGGACTTAATTAAACTTTGATTTAATTAATTAAATAAATTCAGGGACTTAATTGAAAGTAATCCAAGGGTAAAATTAAAAATTTATTTGATTAAGGGACCCAATTAATACATTTCAAAACACCAGGGACCAAACTACAATCTGTCATTTGTCATGCCAAATGACGTCGTTTCGGGTCATACTATTCATCATTTGTTAGCTGAAGACTGATTCAACAGGGGAGAAAATCTGGCAGATCATTCCAGCAAATCACGGCCACGGTATCACGATCTCTTGCCCACGATCCCGCTCATGGATTGATTAACAGGGGAACTGGTTTTTGCATGCTCTCGGGCTCTATAAAAGGCAGAGCAGAGCATACACCAAAAAGGGGGAGAAGGAGGGAGTAGCAGATACAGAGAGGAGAATTGTCCCTGCAATTGTCTTAGTCCCTGCAGAAAAAGAGCAACCCGAAATCAGTAAAAAAATTCAGAGAAAACAGACACACCCATTACCTTCTTAGCTTCTTCATCTCAAGAACTGAGGGAGGCAGAGAACGAAACAGGGGAGAACGAACAGGGAAAAGGCACTGGACTGGGAAACAAAGAAGACCACGAACAAAAAAAAGGAGGGGCGTTTTTCCAGACTCAAAACAGTAACACAGAGGAGGATAATAAACAAACAAATAGAAAAGACAAAAAGCAGGGACAAATAACGGAACAAGGAGGAACGGAGGAAACCGGGAAGACCTGGAAACGCAAACAGGAGAAAAGACAGAGATTATATACAGGGAGGGGACAATTGCCTTCACAATCTCTAGCACCAGAGACAGAAGACGAGAGAAGAGCAAAGGTAGAAGGAAGATTTCCAGTTTTCAGCAACGAATCTTCGTTGATCTTTGCCCAAAACGCTAGCATTCTGGCATAGCAAAGTCACCGAGACCGTTGCTATTGCCTCGGTGTTTCCAGAACCAGGACAAAAAACAAAGGAAGGCAGAAGGAAGGAACGAGGCGTTGCCTAACCAGTGCACTAATCACCCGCAGCTTCGTCTTCGTTGTCAAGCACACCAGACCAGGTAAGTTAATCTTTTCCCATTCTGCAATTTAATTCATTGGACAATGTTTGTAAAGTTAATTATCCCTTCACTGAGCACGCACGCATTGTGCGTGCCCTTGCTTGGGTTAGCAATCAAGCTGGGCTGGTCGATCCGGCCCAGCCCAAAAAGAATATATGCTGAGCTAGGCTGGGCCCAGCCCAGCCCAAAAATTAAAAAATTAAAAAAATACTTCAAATTTATTTCGTTGAATTTTATTTAATTACAAAAATAAAAAAATATGCATGCAAAAATAAAATAAAATAAAGTAAATTTATAATTTTATTCACTGACGCCAGAGTTAGGAATAAAGATACTAATATAAATTATTTTATTTTTATTATATTTTACTTTTATTTAGTTACAAAAAAAAGTAAAAGTTATAAAAAAAAACAGAGAAAGAAAAAAAAGGTTCTTGGTTAGCTATATTTCAACTAAGTTAATCCATATTTTTCCAGAGTCAGGAACATAAAAGTAAAAAAATTTAAAAAAATAAAAAATGTGTTTGCCTGGATAAA